TCTTAAATTGGTTGCCACTGGGGAACTCGTTCTTCGACCGGAAGGGAACCTGATTGGGGTCCCTGGGCAGTGCTTTGTGACCCTCGCTGTCTTATCAATAGTTGCTTTTTATCTACCTATATTTATATACGTTACAAATTAAACTAAGCTCAACTGACTATTATTAAAGCGTGACAAATTTTTGACGTAATTCTTGGATCTCTTTGTTTCGTGAATTTGTTTTGCTCATGTCAAGTCTCAAAAAAAAAAAAACTATATAAAATTCATTATTTTTTAACCATAATGTTGCATGTGTTAAACTTATTCAACTTTTTAACAAAAAAACATCCCGTCCTGGGTAAGACGATAAACTACATCCAAAAGCAAAGCCTCTACTCAGAAAGCTTTGAGGAGTTTGAAACCACTTCTTAATTGATGGTGTTACCAAGTCCACCCTGACCCGGGGTGGTAGCACCTGTTAGGGTCTCAGCTATGGGTAAATAGTTAACTCCAAAACTGGGGTTAAAACACTATGAAAGTGTAAAAACAGGTTTTAATACCAGCAATACATTTTTGTAAAAATATTACTAGCAATAAATTTTTAAAGAAAAAATATTACCAGCAATACGATTTTGGAGAAAAAAATATTACCAACAATAAAAATCTTGTCGGCATTAAATAACCCATTGAAGTTGATAGGCTGTAAAACAAAACAAACCAGACCAAGAAAATTGCCACAAAATATTGTTGATTTATTTAAGAACGAATTATCTATTATGACATGTCTCTAATTTTTATTTAGATACATTGTGTTTCTTTACAAATTTTCTAGTTGAATTGTTCACCTATATTACATATGATCCATTATTGTACATAATCAGGTTGCCAAAATATCTGTATTTTATATGAATACTAGCTTATTTAAATTGAGAAATAGTAGATTGGGCGGGGACACGAGACCCCTGCATCGGACCTGCTGAGCAGTACTAAAAATAAAAAAATATATGAGATACTCCTAGACATAAGCCGTGGAACGAGAACAGTCAGACCCGTAGATTAAATAAAAAAATTAGTTTAGAATTCCTTGGAGGTTACCGAATCAAATATAACCTGATGAAGAC